CGGCTGGAACTGGAACGTAGATGGCTTACCCTGAAGCCCCAACTAGATATTTACCACCAGATCGAAGATGTGAAACGGGCAATCACTAAGTTCTGTAAGGAATGGTTGGGGGGAGATAGAGAAGGGTGGATAGCCAAAGTGGAATGGAGTAGAGACGTCCCAGACAGCAATCAAGTTCTGGAAGGGGCAAGGGATTACATTTTGGTGTTCAAGGACTGGACTCATATCGAATCCTCCTTCCCCCTTCGCCCCCCCTCAGACTTCCCTGATCCCTTCCCAACCCATGCCCTCTCCCTAATGGAAATATTGACATAAGGACTATGGCCGAGTCCTGGTGCCCCCAGGGTAACGGCCATAGTACCTTGCCCGCACGCGATCAATGGCAGGATGTGGAGAGGGGAAACGACAAGCAAGATTCAAGCAGGATTCAAGGGAGGAGAAGCTTCCGGCAGGATGGGACGACTTCTGGTTCATATCCTTGAGACATAGCTGGGGGAGGAAGGAACTAGGATATTAAAGTTGATTTTTGGCGCCTGATATGGGGCGAAGAGGTTTCCGGCCCCTGTTGTTTTCTTTTACCTGCTCAGCCAATTCTCTGGAATCCAGAGCAATCAATGCTGGCAGGCAAACTTCTTTCCTGATATCTTTCATTTTCATTCTGTAGGAGGAGAGGACCGTCATCAGCAACACCCTTCAGCACCCTGCTCAGTTAATCCTCTGGAACTCCAGAGTAATCCATGCTGGCAGGCTTTTTCAGATATTCTGTTGTGTTTTCTGTTTCCTGATTCATCTTGTTCCATTCTGTAACAGGGACGCTGGACCCGTTTTCCAGCAGGTGATGCTCCCCACCAATAGATGGAGTCTCTCCTCAAGGCGGTAGCGGTGTCTGCTCTTACCAGCACCGCGAGCACTAGAGGAGTGGTGTTTGGAAAAAAAAAAAAAAAAAAAAAAAAGACGAGTGGATTCTGTCAGGAACCTGTAACACAGCAGACAGACTGGAGAACAAATGGGCCTATCATATAGCTCAGGTTATCAGAGGGATCAGCATGAAGCTTATATGGGATGAAAGGAAGAATCAGCTGTTCAATGGGAAATACATGGCGGACGAAGCAGTGAAGACCAGGTAGGCCTTCGCCTGTCAGGACAACCATCGACTGCCACTGCCAGCAATCACTGTGTGTGTGTGTCTGGGCCTTGGCCTCCACAACACCCTGGGCTTAAAGCACCACTACCTTTCACAGGCAAACGCGAAGTCCATCTAGTAGCCTACTCCTTAAAACACGGGGCTCGGGGCAGGGTTGGAGGCCGACAAAATAAAAATGAAAAAAAAAAAAAAAAAAAAAAGTTTCGAATCCAGGGACGTAGGGGAAGGCCACGTAACACCAGTGCTTTGAGGAATGTATCTGGCCACTATGCGTGGCTGAAGTTTGCTTTTGTTTTTTGAACTTTTTTCTTTTGTTTTTTCTTTTGTTTTTGGTTTCATGCCGTTGTAGTGTCCTCCCAGCCAGGCAGGGCGTATTTCACGGGTGGCAAGTAACCATCTGAATGCTGTAGCATCCAGTATCCGCCCTCAATCACAGCATAAGGGAGTTTTGTTTTTTTTGTTGTTGTTTTTTTCGTTGTTTGTCTGCTACACGCCCTCACTGAGGGCACAGTCACACGAGCACCTCACAGAATGTATCTGGGGCGAGGTCCCATTAGCAGTCGGATAGGAGTGTGGCCGATCCAGTGTGACACTGAGTGGCAGCGGCCAGACAGGTTCATTTCCTGGCTGAGAAAACAGGAGAAAGGCAAAAAAAAAAAAGAAACAGAGACCTCCCACCGGAAATTACGGCAGAGTGCTTTCACAATTATCTGATGGTGGTGGTTGCAACAACAGTGAACAAAGTAACCGGCACATTTTCCGGAATAAACTTGACTTCTGTCAGCACTGATCCTGACACCCTCCATATACTCCCTGATTGAAGGAGGGCTCCACCCAATGAGATAATTGCACAACAGGAAGGAAAATACTGAAAATCTTCTATCCAGTGGGCCTAAGGCCAACCCCACCCTCCTTTGGGGAGCGTAGAAGTGAAGAGGACGACCGGCGGAATCGGGAAGAGCAAGCCAGGCTTGCCAGGGAAGAAGAGGACAGACGGGCTGAAGCCAAAGAGAAGAAAGAAGCTGGACGGGAAGCTAGAATGGCACGTCTTGTTCGAGAACAAATGGAGGAAATGGAGGCAAAAAAGCAGGATGCCTCGGGGGATAGTAGTAAGAAGAATTGGGAGAAGGTGGAAAAAGTTGTGAAACCTCCCAGTGAAGGGGAGGCTAACAGGAATGGTGAAGGTAACGAAAATCGGAAGAGGGATCAAGTTGCCATGGCAGGAAGCAATCAGGCTGCTCCTTTGCAGGCAGCTGGCCGACAACAGGTTGAAAGCGGGGTCTCCTCGCTCGATTCGGGTCTATTACGTATGGATTTGGACAATGTGCGAAAGGCACAGGATGCTCACTCTCTTTTATTTCAAGAAATGTTGAGCTGTCTTAAGACGATTAAATAGCAAGGCGCTGCTATGCTCTCTCCTCTCCCTTCCCCCTCTGTTTCCACTCCTCCTTCACCTCCTCCCCCACCTCCTCCTCACCCTGCACCCTCGCCACCCACAAATCCTCCCGCTCCTCCCCCTCATCATCTTCACGACCCTCCCCCTGTCGCACACCAACCCCAACTGGCCCATCCACCCATTCCCTCACCTCGAACTCCTGCTCCAGCTTCCCCTCCCGCACACCTCCCCCTCCTCCGCCTCAGCCACCCATCTCTCGGATAGCATGTGCGGCGACTGAACCTGGACCGTCAAGGACTCAGACTGATCAACACGGGACGCCAGTAGGCAATGCGTTCTCTGCACGCCTGGTTGGAATGTTCGCATCTGTCGCAGGTAGTGGTTCAAGGAGGAGATCAGTTGGTATCTCTATCAATGAAGGTGCGAATAATGAGGATACCTCGCAAGGACTGGGCTTTGATCGGATCAACCGTGGCAAGAAGGCGGCGGGGGCTTGTCCTGGCAAGGAAGGGAGGAAAAAATACATTGAAGACCTGGTGGGCGTATTGATGGAAAAAAGCAAGCACGAACTCGAAGAGCTGTGTAAGAAGGACCGGATTAAGTATGTCAACAAGAAGGTCTCGACAGCTGCCTTGGCCAAGATACGTGCTGTGGAGGCATATGGTGAAGACGACGAGGAGGATCAATTTGAGGAGGAGACTCAAGAGGAGAACCCCTCCTAGTGATCCGTTCATCTACCTTCCACCTGGAGCAATCTTGAACGAATCCGGAAGAGAAGATGCAATGAAGGATGACAAGGCCCAAGTGCAGTAATAACTGATACATACATGCGTTTTTTGGTCTTAGTGTTGGCCTGCTGTGGACAATTGAGGTGGGCTGAAAAGTTTGTGGGTTGTTGGGCTAACTCTTTGAAGAATGGTGTTGACGTGTGTGGCTGGGAAGGTCCCTGTGTTTATATTTTGATCTCTCCATGGTACAAAGCCACCTATATTGGTTCTACTACTTGTCATCTAAAAGTTCAGTGGGACGAGCACATTCGTAAGTCATTCCAAACTAATGACAGTCGAAATCACAAGCTTAGACGGTGGTTTCTGCGGAAGGGTTGGCACAGCTATGTGGCCATACCTATAGCCTTCCCTCCTATTGATGACATCCGTGATGTTGAAGCAACTTTGATCTCTAGATGGACACCAGCATTGAACTGCGTCAAAAAACGAAAAATCTCTTCCAAGCGGAAAGGACGAAGGGAGCGAAAAACTTTTTTGAAAAACAAGGGTATAGGAAAAGCTAAGGATAATGTGAGGTTTGTCTGTTGGGATTCATCTGATGTATCCCTTCTTATTGCTGAGCCCTGGGTACCCTTGTTTCCTTCTTTCTCTGTCAGTAGGATCCTGGAGAAACTGGCGGATGATGGGATTATGCATATAAATTTGTTGAGCACTGGGGGAAGTAGTTTCTTGGACTCATGGGGTAAAATTCGGAGGACGTTTGGTTGGTCCATTATCAAGCTTGACAACGATAAGAAATATCTCTTGAAAGATTTAAAAAACGAATTCCTAAATGGAGGTGTGTTTTGCATTCTGAGACTGAGACGTAGAGAGAGTATGACTCATTTTCGGCGGGATGTGTTAGCCTCTCTACTGCAGGTTCCAAAAACCAGAATTGGGCTTTACAAATCTGGTCTGCATAACCTGACCAAGTTGTATAACTCTATTGAGTTATTCCATCGTGATAGATCTTGGACTATCCTAAAAGGGGTAGTGGGTAGAGCTCTGACTTATGCATGTGGTTTTCGATGTCTGGCCCCCACTATTGTGAAAATTACTTATGATGATAGGATTCGAAAATCATCCATTATTGGGCTAGCTAGCTCGATCATAAGGAAAAGCGTTTCAGATAATATGCTTTCGAACTTTCTGGTTTCTAGATTGAGGGTTGTGTGGACTAAGAATAAATCAGTTGCCGATGTGTTGCACAATCACATACGTATGGTCAGGCTCCCCGTTGGTGTTTGCTTCTCTTCGAAGTATGATATTACTATTCCTAGAAATAAGGAAGGACACATCACCTTCAGGTTCTCTGAGTTTTCTGATCTGTCATGCGTCCTTCTGTTCACCAATCCGTAGGAAGGATAAAAAGGGTTTTTTTCGATGGTTTGTCACGTATTCCAAGTAACATTGGATGGGTTGGTAGCTCGAGTATGATTCTTTCTTGCTCAATAGAGTAAAAGAGGATGGCGTGTGTGAGGGCGTTGCTATCCGATGGAAGGAGAGACTAGAGGGGCTGGTCATCGCTCCTATTGATCATAATTTAGCCGATACCTACGTCTGTTGTGCAACCATCCACTTCGATGCCCTTGCAAAGCTGTATTGGGACAATGAGGGCTCCGTGGTTGAAAGTAGGACAGAGCAAGAGATTCTAACCGCTTGCGTAAAAGGATGCAGTGAGATTCATGGACAAAAATTGGCTGCGTGGAACCGCCGTGGTACGTTGGGTATGGCCTATGGGATACCCAAGCATAAGGACGTGAGCCGATGGAGACCTATTGCCCCGTCCTTTGCGGAAGCCAGTATTCAGGCTTGTAGGATTGTCTCGAAAGCAATCAACGGTCTTCTCTTGAGAATCCCCGACTCTTGTCACTTTAATCTTAAGAGCACTAGTATGCTGAAAAAGTGCATTTTGGATTTGAATAGACGAACGTCGAAATTTACTGATGGAGGTATCATATCAGCTAGCTTCGACATCAAGGAGATGTTCACGAAGTTGCCGCACGATGCTATTATAAGTGCGGTAGAATGGATCTGCGATTTCTTTTTGGAAAAGGGCCACAAACCTATCAGGGTGAACAGAGTAGGGAAAGGAGTTGTTTTGGTATCACACAAATTTCTTACTACTCCACACCTTAACTTTTCTACTTCCCGCCTGGATGACGACAACAGGACTCTCGCTGCTCCATAGCCTACCGCGCCAGTATCTTGAAACATGTTCTCCGGCGTCTTGGCTGCCTTTCCCTCTGAAACCTGCTACTTGGTACACTGCGCTCTTGCTGCTGTCGTCTTCTTACTGCTGGTCTTCGCGGACATGTCTCTTCTGCACCGTTTTTTTTCTCTTTTTCCGCCTCTCCCTTCACTCACTATTAGTCCATATTCAGACTCTTCTCCACCAAATCTCGTCTGTATCACTCCCTTTTTTTGTCGCCCCTCACTTCACTCACTATGAGTTCAGATTCAGACCTTACACCCCTATTCCATCCCTCGATCCCTCCGGTTTCTTTCCTCCCTCTCTTTGCCTCTCTCACTCTCTCTCACAGTTGTACCTGGATAATCGCGCAACTTCGAAGTTACATTTGGGTATATATGGACGGATGAGCAGGTAGGCAGATAGCGCATATTCATCTTCTCCCCTGATGATGGCTCCGCCAGCGACGCAGCCGAAACATGTCGGGAGTTTTAGCCAGTGTTGCTTCTGTATGGCTCGAATATTTTTTTGAAGCAACTTTTGCTCTACTACGGTGTACTTTTCCTACTCTTTTCCACTCTCTTCCTCTTCTTCTTCTTCTTCTTTTCCTTCTTCGTCTTCCTCTCCCTCTTCCTCTTCTTCTTCCACCGTTCTGTTGTGTTAAGATTGAATGGGGTTGTTGCTCGTACATGTCAGCGGGTCTGAGTCGTCACAACGTGCTTTCGGTCATTCCTTCGACTCACTTCCTAATCGTCCACCTGCTGTAGCAGGTATCGCGCCTGCTGGTGGGTGCAGCTCCCGCATGTTCCCTCGTTGGAGGCTTGAGCACAGATGTGGCTGCTACGGGGTTCCCCATAATACTATAATGACAATGAAAAAGGCCTGAAAGGCCGTCACGTCCAGATTTTAGCCTAAAATAAAATAAAAACTTACAGGAGGTGGTGGTCCCCACCTCCTGGGTTAGAGGACTCTGCAGACTGTAGAGGGTTCGAAATCATACAAAACAGTTTGTCACAGCCCCCCCCCTCTCGTGTCCTTTTCAACTTTTCTACTTACGGTTTACCAGGCCTGTCTCTTATACACATCTAGATGTGTATAAGAGACAGCCATAATACTATAATGACAATGAAAAAGGCCTGAAAGGCCGTCACGTCCAGATTTTAGCCTAAAATAAAATAAAAACTTACAGGAGGTGGTGGTCCCCACCTCCTGGGTTAGAGGACTCTGCAGACTGTAGAGGGTTCGAAATCATACAAAACAGTTTGTCACAGCCCCCCCCCTCTCGTGTCCTTTTCAACTTTTCTACTTACGGTTTACCAGGCAGTTCCTTTTTCTTTGTTTTTTTTCAACTCAACATCCAAACCAGGCAGTTCTCAATGACTATATATATGTATACATATAGTCACAAAGATATCAGTGCGCCAAAGCGGAAAAAAAAACAGAAGAAAGACAAGAAAAAAAAATGCAGAAGAAAAACAAGCAAAAAAGCAATATCCCGTTGTTCGGTCTATTTCGGCGAGCGTAGCGGTGCTTTCATGTGGGACCAGTCATCCAGGTTCTTTTTTATCGTCTTGGCATCCTAGTTGGTTGTTTCCCGTTGTTCGGCCTGTGTGAGGGGGCGGTGCTTTTATGCGGGAATTGTCATCTAGGATTGTCTTTTATGTTTTTTGTCTCAGTGAGAACGATTTACAAGTGGGAATACCAAGTCTTGATGACCAATAAGGCCATCTGTTGTATATAGGTATGTAATCTGGGATTTCTCTTTTTTCGCAGACAAGAGTTTGGTCCTGGGTGGTCTTGTCCTGTCGTTTGGCCTGTGAAGGAGGGGCGGTGCTTGCATGTGGGACTTGTCATCTAGGATCCGTTTTTGGTGTTATTGCTTGTTGCCCCCTGTTTTGTTGTATTTGGTTGTTCCCTTCCTCTTTCTTTGCCTCTTTGGGCGTCGCCGCACGGGACACGAAACGAAAAAAAAAAAACGAGTGCATCTTCATACAGAAAATAGCCAGGTTCATCTGTTTGCTATAAATAGTAACGAGTGTATTTTGCCACCTTTCCTGGGCAGATGCACTCGTTTCGTTCTCGTTTCGTGTGCCGTGCGGCGAGACCCTTTGCCCTTTGGCTGTGTGCAAGTGGGTCGATATGACACCCGGGGGTGGAGCAGCCGCCGCTCAACCTACATCCACGTGG